TAGGTGTTGCCGCCATGCTTTTACACTAGAACATTTCCTGTTTCCTTAGTCATTCACAGTTCAAGTCTGCTAAGCACCATAGTCTTTAATAATAATGAGTTCCATTTGAAAATGGCATTGTGGGCCGGGGAGATGGCTCAGTGGAATAAGCGCATCCCTGGCAAGCACAAGGGCTTGAGTTCAATCCCCAGTTCCGCCAAAAAAAAGAAAGAAAAAGAAAATGGCTTTGCGGATTTAAAAAGTTATGAATACATCAGCGTAGCATAAAAAGTTTGCTTCCCTTTCCTTTTGATGGTAAGTAGGGCAGGTGTTAAAGGAGCATGACCGGTAAAGTTAAAAGTTCACATCAGCAATGGCTTCTTGGCCTTTGAATTTCTCCTAAATGATATTTTTTTCCCCTAGAAATTTTGGATGGTGTGGAACTTGGGGAACCAGCCCATAAGAAAACGGGGACCACGGTGCCAGAATCTATTCACTCTTTCAGTAAGTTCACCCCCCGAGGAATTGCAAGTGACCTGCTCACTAAATAGCAGCCATGTAGACCCACAAGAGGGTGACGGGTTGGGGCCGGGGAGTTGGCTCAGTAGAATAAGTGCTTCCCTGGCAAGCGCAAGGGCTTGAGTTCAATCCCCGGTTCCGCAAAAAAAAGAGGGTGACAGGCTGAGGCCACAGAACCACCTTTGTTTTTGTCTTTTTGAGACAGGGCCTCACTATACAGTTCAGGCTGACCTTGAACTCACTTTGTGACCTAGGCTAGCCTTGAGTTTGCGTCAGTCCTCCTGCTTCAGCCTCCTGAGTGCTGGGATTTCAGACGTGGGCCATCAGACCCAGCCCAGAGCCACCCTTGAGAGGGAGATCCCTGACTCCCTAGTTATACTCTGAGGACTCAGATGGCCATAGTGGAGAGACTGCTCAGCACTCACAGCAGTGAAGGCTCAGCACAGCCAGCTGCAACACTGAGCCCATCATGGTGACCCAGTTGTTACTATTATTTTCTCCTTTGGTGTGTTCCAGTTGGAGACGGTTTGGTGAAACCAGAAGCCCTAAACAAGAAAGCTATTCAGATCATTAACAGGGTTCGAGACAAGCTCACCGGTGAGTGTGTTGCTGTTTGTGGAAAGGGACTCATAGCTGTGGAGCTGTCCCGTAGGGCAGAGTCAGCACCGAGCTGCAGTCCTGCATCTGCCCGAGGTCTCCGTACTGGCACTGGGGCACCCCCACCTCCTCTTGCTGACAGCCAACAGCATCACCCAGAGTTAACCTAATCCCTCAGCACTCACCCGTGGGCAGAGTGGATTCCAGGATCAGCCAAATTCATACACCTTTTGTCATCTTGGCATGATGCCAGAGCACATCTGACCCCTGACACTGTCTTACCTGCTTAGAGGTTCACAGGGTAGAGAGCGGGGAAGAGAGAGGCACACACTTTTGAGAAGGAGCACCCCACCCCGACCACCTTTCTTCTGTTGGGAGGGATGACAGGTGGGGCAGGGAAGCCAGACCGTAGCTCCACTGCCCACTGCCTCTGGGACCTCTGAGACCATGGAAGCATCTAGAAGATGACAGGAAGTCCCCTGAGTGGGAGTGAGGGTTAGATGACACTCAGTGGCAGGCACTGACTACCAGCCTGTCATCTTGGTAGTTGGGGTGTTTGTGTGTGCATAGTATTGGAGATCGAACCCAGGGCTCTCATGCAGGGCTACATCCCCAGCCTTTTTTTACATTTTGAACCTGGGTCTCCCTGAGTTGTCCAAGCTGGTCTTGAACTTAGGCTTCTCCTGCCTCAGCCTCTCAAGGTACTGGGACTCCAGGCTTGTACCATGCCTGATTAGGTATCTTTGTTAGACACCTATCCACACTAAGACCAGAACTGTGATTCCTCTAACAGGAAGATGTAAGCTAGTTCAGAAGTTAAGGAAACAGCCCATGAGGAATGTTAATGAGGGGGACACTACTTAGGCAAAGGAACAGCACATACAAGGGCCCTGTGACAAGAGAGAGGACAAGAGCAAAGGCCCAAGAGCAAGCCCACCTACCTGCCTAGAAAAGGAAGTCTAGCCAGGGCACAGCACGAGATGCAAGACCACGCACACGGACCCATGTATTTCATCCTGTAACCAGGGGGCAGCAGGAAACCCTGAAGGGGTTAGAACCAAGCACGTTAGTGAGACCCTGAACACCCTATAGACCCTTCTCTAAAAATACAAAAAAAAAAAAAAAAAAAAAGAACCAAGCACGTGTGTGGCAGCCACTGCCAGCTCCAGTCCTGGACAGTAGATTCCAGGAGGTGTGGGAGCTGTGGCCTGCACCAGGAAGGAGACTGCCCAGCGTTGGGTCAATCACCTCGGAAGGACCATGCTGGGGGGTGGCCAGTGGGAGACAGCCTGCATGCATGGAGACTGGCCTCCAGCCAAGGTTCAGAAGGAGTGGTGTCAAGGGACAGGACAGATAAGGGTGACCCAAGTCACTGATTACCACCTGAGAGTTGTGGAAAAGCTGTCAGCCGAGTGCAGCAGCTTTAAAGAAAGGGGCAGGGCTGGGGGCTGAGGTTCAGAACTCCTGAGCTAGGCAGGCAGGATGGTGTGTGCCTGCAGTCCCAGCTATTTGGGAGGCTGAAGCAGGAAGATCACTTGAGCCCAGAAGTTCAAGATCAGCCTTGGCAGCATATCAGGACCCCGTCTGAAGATTGGGTATGGCGGTGCACACCTGTAATCCCAGTACTTAGGAGGCTGAAGCAGGAGGATCACAAGTTCAAGACCAGCCTAGATTACATAGCAAGACCCTATCTCAAAAAAAGTGAACATTTTAGGGCTGGGGAGATGGCTCAGTAGGATAAGCGCTTGACTGGCAAATGCAAGGATCTGAATTCAATCCCCGGTTCTGGAAAAAAAAAAGTGAACATTTTATATGGTTTGTGCTGAGAAGAGAAGACTGAGTATGAGGCCCTCGGTTTAGCGGCCTTAACCACACAAGACCAGCATGTATGCAGACCATGCACACCTATGGTACGTCCTTCCTACTTGTGGTCAGGCTTAGCTCCCCAGGCTGCTGAGACGGGAGTGTGCTGGAACAGGTGGCAATCGGTGTTCCTATTTCTCCATCGTAGGCCGGGACTTCTCTCATGACGATACCTTGGACGTCCCAACACAAGTTGAGTTGCTGATCAAACAAGCAACGTCCCATGAGAACCTCTGCCAGTGCTACATTGGCTGGTGAGTTGGCATCACAGAGAAACTTCATTAAAATCAGGGAGAGCTGGGTATGCACCCAAAACCCAGCAACTCTGGAGGCTGAAGAAGGAGACGTTAAAGTTTAAGGCCAGCCTGGACAACTTATTGAGACCCTGTCTGTCTCAAAATAAATTGAAAGGGCTGGAGTTTGGCATAGTGGTAAAGCACCTATAAATGCAATCCCTGAAAAAAAAAAATCATTGAGCATCCCACCCAGGGCCCCACAGAGAACAGAGAAGACTGAAAGAAGCAGCTGTAAAGCGCAGTTAAGGGTTCAAAGGTTCAAACCTCCTGAGAAGGTTATATTCACTGCACATTCTCTTGGGGTGCCTATTTGGAAGGCAAGCACCAGAATAAGTTCAGATTCCATTTAGAGAAATGGTTTTGAAGAGTCAAACCTGCTTGCTTATGAAGGGCACTCCTGGTGTTGGGTTGTGTTGTTTTGGGTTGTGTTTTGTATTTGAGACGAGGTCTTGGCTATGTAACTGAGGCTGGCCTTAAACTCACTATGTAGCCCAAGCTGGCCTCAGACTCACTGCAATCCTCCTGTCTTAACTTCCAAAGTGCTGGGATTATAGGTGTGCACCACACCCAGCTTCTGCTGAATTTTTGTTGTCACTCCAGAGATACAGGAAGAGCATGAGAAAAAGAAGCCGATTCAGTGACAGAGGAAAGTGAAAGACATAAATGTGTGCTCTAGGAGTGTATAAGTAGCTTTAACATACACTGTCTGATGTACACTTGGAGGCAGAAAGCTGAGAGGGTGCAGGGACACATCCGTGGGGCTGAGGTGACATGAACCTGGACTGGAGGTGATGCATGTTCCATAGGATTAGTCACTAATTGGGGGAGAGCTCAGAAAGTGCCCCAGGGTGCTCAGAGCGTGGCCTGTGTTCTCAAAAGAATCACAGAGAACTAAATCTTCCTTTGCTATCTGCCTTTCTAGGTGTCCCTTCTGGTAACAGCAGCCCAGGCGTCTCCTCCAGAGCCTTTCTACTTTGGTCTGTACTTCCTCTAAAATGAAACCATGGTCAGAAAGTTCAACTTCGTTAAATATTTTTAAATGTAACTGAAAAGAACTACTGTATATTGAAAGTTGGCTTGAACCAACTTTCTAGCTGCTGTTATAGAAGATATCAGAAACACGGGCTTGATTTGGTTCCCAGGACAGTGCAACAGTCACGCAGCACAGATCAGGCCGCTGACTCTGGGAACAGGAGATCCATAACTAGAGATACGGGTTTTGCCTTCACTCACAGAGCTGGCCGTGGCATGTGCTGGCAGAAGAATGACCAGGTCGCCCCCTCAGTGTCAGTGTGGGGACAGCAAGTGTGGCATAGGAAAGCTGGACAGAGGAGGCCTCAGTTGGCATCCTGGACCCAAAAGAAGCTCGTGTCACCACTCGTCAGTACTGTTACCTCACTGGTCCCCGGGCAGCAGCGTCAGCATTTGCAGGGTGGACCAAGATGGGTGGCCAAGGTCTGTCATTACTTGACCCAGTGATGCTGCGACTCACACTTCAACCTAAGCCCTGAGCTGCCAGGAGGGAGTTCGTTCAGATGCCAGGAGGCCTTGGCCAACAGGGGACACTGAAGGCACGTGGCAGTGTCTCAGTGAGGTCCGAGCATGCTGTGTTTAGAGCAGGGGATCCTGCACACGACTGCTGTCCCAGAGGTGCTAAACACAGGCAGGTTAGGACACGTCCAAAGTTGTGAGCAAATAGGCATCTGGCTAAATGCACAGTATAAAGTATAGCCACACGTAGACACCACATTGTATCTGAATAATTTTTGTGCCAATAAATGACATCAGAATTTTAAAAACTTGTATGAATGCCTTTTGGTCAATAATTATTAGCTCGAAAAAGAACCCCTGGGCTGGGGATGCAACTCAGCAAGAGACACTCGCCTTGAATGCACAGTGCTGTGGGCTTGGTTCTCTACATGCAAAAATTAATAATAACAGAAACATTGAATAAGCATTCAGTACTAGAGACTATGAAGGAGGACACAGGGACATTCAGTATGTGCCGTGGCCCCTTTCCTTGGGGTCCTGGACACACGGGGGGGAGCCTGCCTAGCAGGAGAATGAATTGAGAACCCCACCCCGTGTAGCCGAAAGAGGAGCCACCAAGGGGGGGCGAGGCCTGCTGCAGCCGCTGGGGACTGTCTCTGCAGCAGGGGAGCAGGCACTGAAGCTAGTCCCCCCCAGGCACCCCCCCCAACCTGGCAGTCTCCCGTGGCCACACCTTGCAGTTCAGTGACCAGCGGGGAATCACAAGGGCCTGAGTTCAATCCCCAGTTCAAAAAAAAAAAAAAACCTGGACACACGGGGGGGGGGGGGACCCTGCCTAGCAGGAGAATGGAGAACCCCACCCCATGTAGCCGAAAGAGGAGCCACCAAGGGGGGGCGAGGCCTGCTGCAGCCGCTGGGGACTGTCTCTGCAGCAGGGGAGCAGGCACTGAAGCTAGTGTCTGGCAGGCACCCCCCCCAACCTGGCAGTCTCCCGTGGCCACACCTTGCAGTTCAGTGACCAGCGGGGAATCACAGAAATGAGAAAATGACAACAGAAGGCTAGAAAGGCCCACCTAACTGTTCAGTAAACAAAACTGATACAGTCAGTATGGTTTGTTGTTTGTTTTTGGTTTTTTGGCCGGGGATTGAACTCAGGCCCTTGCACTTGCCGTGTAAGCACTTATTCTACTGAGCCATCTCCTCTACCCCAGTCAGTGTTTAGAAACACACAAGTGCTGTCGAATGAGTGAACAGAATCTTAGAGGGGAGGGAACAGTGAGAGGGGCTGGGAGTACCCTGTAGGTTCCATCTTGATTATAGGCGGCTGGCAAGATAGCTCAGTGGACTGAGTGCCTGTTTAGGCAAGTGGAGGAACCAGGTTCGATCCACAGCAGCACATGCGGCGCTGGCCCCGCCCTGGGCAAGCCCAGCCAGCCACCAAGACCCGGCCTGGTGGTGCAGGCCTATAATAACAGCACTGGGGAGGCTGAAAACTGGAGCATCACTGAGTCTGAGCTGTGTCCCACCCCCGGCCACAGAATTAGCATCACATACTATGAAATACTACAGAATTTTTTTTTTTTTTAATTTTTGAGACAGAGTCTCATTCTGGTTGAGGCGTAACATAAGGCCTATAATCCCAGCACTCAGGATGCTGAGGCAGGAGGATTATTTCAAGATGAGCCTGAGCTACATAGTACAGGGCCAGCCTGAACTGCATAGTGAGACTCTGTCTCAAAAAAGAAAAATAATACCAAAAAAAAAAAAAAAGAGAGAACGGGAAAATAAAGAGTCTTGCTACATAGTTCAGGCTGGTCTCAAACTCACAGCGACCTTCCCGCCTTAATCTCCCAAACACTGGGATTACAGGCGGGCGCCACCACATTTAGCCATTTTAAAAAAAGAAAAAAAAAGCCCACATAGTTGCCGACCGAGCAGCTTAAAACGTACCGCCCCAAACCACACTCCCAGTCCCGGGAGCTCGCACATGCGTAGCGCGCACGCCTCGCACCGCAAACTCTCGCGAGAAGAGCCTTGCGGGCCGGAAAGATGGCGCCACCCAGCCCCCGCGAGCCCAAGGACCAGGCGGCGCCCAGCGCATCCAAACCCGCCGGCGAGATGGTGCTGCCGGGCTTCCCGGACGCGGACAGCTTCGTGAAGGTGAGTTCATTCTCGGGGACACCAGGAGCCTTGCCAGCCGGGAGCATCGGGGCCTCAGCGGCCGCCGCGCACCGCGGAAGCCTGGGCGCAGCGGAGGGCGACGGCGGCCGGCTCTCGGGGATCCCTCCGCGTTGAGGCCAGCGCAGCCCCCACCGTGCGCCGCTGCTGCGCGTCCTGTCCCCAGCCCTGGCGACCTCACCTCCCCGGAGCAGCTGGCAGAATCTGGGAGGGGTCGGCTGCTGCCTGCTTGCACTCCGGGCCGGGGCCCTTCGCGCCCGGATGGCGCGGCTCCTCCCCGCAGTCCAGTCTTCTGCAGTGCAAGCCTCTGGGTTGAACCTGTCGCTTGTCACCGCTTGCTTCCCCCGAGTGCCTCTCCTCCAGGTGGCGAAGCGGCTTCATCGCTACTTCCGTGAAACCCAAAGGTTTAATTATTTGTAAGACATAGGTTAAGGGCCGGGAGATGGCTCGGTAGAATAAGCGCTTGCCTGGCAAACGCAAGGGCCTGAGTTCAATCCCCGGTTCCGCAAGAAAAAAACACACATAGGTTAAATATGAATAAATATAAGCCGAGTTTTAGTCTGGCGTGGTGATACAGGCCTGTAATCTCAGCCCTTAAGAGGCTGAAGCAGGAGAATTGCCCGGAGTTCCAGGCCTGTCTAGGTTACGTAGTGTAAGTTCAAGGCCAGCCGGAACTACATAGTGAGACGCTGTCTTAAA